AGTTGCAACATCCCAAAATGAGCGGCCAGCCAGATCTGGGCCGTCCTTTTCAAGGACTCGATCTGGCCACTCGTTTTGTGATTTTGTGACTCTTGAGGTGTGAGTATGCCCTCACAGGGGTTGAACTGACTGTTTCTGAGGCTGTTTTTTTCTAGCTGGTCGGAATAGGGTTCTTCTGCCTCTAAGTCTGGGTTAATGTTCTTGAGGTTATTCCAGCTGTTAGGAGTGGGGTTCTGCCTGTCCTTCGGGACATCCGTTAAAATTGGAACGATACAGAGAAAGTAGATTAGCATGGCCCCGGCGCTTTCAAGGATGACACGCATAAATCGAGAAATGGTCCCAAAAAAAAAAAAAAAGAAAAAAAAAAAGGAGTGCGGTTCTGCCTCTAAGTGTGGGTTTACTGACAGGCAGTCCTTGATAATGAAGCAAGACAAAAAAAAAAAAAAAAATGCAGTCACAGATCCCAGGGCCTACCTCATCTCACTTTGGGCATCACCACACCACTCACAAAATGTGGAAAACACAAAACCTGCAGTGGATGCATCTTTCCATGTTTTTGCGGAAGGTACATGCTCCATTTTGCACATTCCAGGAGTGGTGTCGCGAGGCCTTTTTCGTAGCTTATACTAATTTTCTGGCATTGCAATGCATCAGACCAGACAAAGGGATTGCTCGGCGTGTTTTTGCGGAATGTGTTTTGAATCTTCTGAGAGTATTATAGTTGTTATGGGTGGGATTCTATCTCTAAGGGTCTCGTCGCACAGATCTTTATATATCTGTATATTTTTTTTACGACGATTCTGAACGATTCTTTATTGTCGTGGCTAGTTTCCTCAGAACTGTTTGCTGGTTGCACCCTGCTCTATATTTTATTATTTTCTGAACAAATCCTAAAGTAGGCTGCAATTCAATGAAAAAAAAACAAAACCAAAAGAAGCTGAGTTTCAGCCAATCAGGTTACAGCACCTGGACATTCCAACCCGCATATGGGCAGGTTCCACACACCCGCATATGGGCAGGTTCCACACACACACACACACACACACACACACACACACACACACACAC